TACATAACAATACATTTCACACCTCAAAGGAATGGTAATAAGTAACCAAATACTATACATTAAAATAAACAACAATTTAGTTCAGTCAAATCAGTGCAACCTCATTTGATTTGCAATTTAAATGTAGCTACTTAAAACATTTTCCAGATCACTACTTGTCCCCAAGGAACGTCTGTCTACCAAATGAAGAAATAATGTATTTCAATCATTTTTCCACCAACACTTAACAATCACATTTAAATTGATTTTTCTATTAAAAAAATTCACCTCTGATAAGGATAGTGTACTGGTGCATGTCTGACAGCCATCTTTTGCATTTAACTGAAGTCCTAATACGGTATTTTTCACTCACTCCAAGACTGCAATTTTGAATACAAAAGCACTTGAAGCTTGTTTCACTTTTAAGCTTCTTACTCTGAAGTTCATCAGAAGTATTACATTACTAGCATTCAAATTAACAGGGGTGATGTGACTTAAGAACAATGAAAAAAAATCATCTGAGGGCTGAAGGGATGCCTTGACTGAAACCACCTTTTCTCCTCTTTGCAGCGAATTCAGAGACAGTACCTTTCGACACATTGATTAAACAATTTTTCACTCCACTATCAATGTAATTGTACCTATGGACCAACCACAATTTAGACTGTAATGTTACAAGCAGTATTAAGCAGAGCAGAAACTACCTAGAACAAAAAGTTTATAGATCACCAGAGATCAGAGCAAAAAGGAAAAAAAGTAATCCTGAAGGGTGTAATGAATGACAAACACTCAATTAGTGTCACATTTTGGTGGAAACAGGATTAAGAAAAATGAAAGTATAAATGAGGATGCCACTGAAGAGAGGGACATGGCAGAGAAGTCAGAAGAGATAGCTGTGAAAAGGAGATGAAGTGACTAAGGAAGATTGCTGATGCAAACAGCCAGCTAGCACAAGAAAGGCAAGGCAGCAGCAAAAAGGTCTCTGCTTGGCCAAGAAACGTATCTGGCTACCCCTCTTTGCAGCATTTTCACTCTGCGTGCTTGAAAATTAAAGATGTATCAGAAGTATCTGAAACAATCATTGAAAAAATCAGAGGGAATGGGGGGGAGAGAGTTTTAGTACAAGCACACACGTAATTTGTTAACACATACCTTCACCATTTTTTAAGTAACTGCCCAAGCAGTTTCCCAGGTAGCCTGCAACCTTCTTCCTACCCTATCTTAATGCAGTCTGAGATGCAGTAAATGCTACCAACCAACTCTTTTTTAAATTAATTGTTCAGCATATTCTGATGAAGTGGTTGACATATTAAGGGAAGATCTCCTCCTAAAACAGAGACTGCATACTGTCTATCCCGAGACAGCAATCCTCCAAGAAACCCAAAAATATTAATTCCAACAACAGCTGCTTCTTTAAAAAAAAAAAAAAAAAAAAAAATCCTTCTTCTTACTACAAGAAGGCCATATCGAAGTATTTATGAAAGGGTTTTCCTTCACTGCTTTAAGATTTCCATGGGATAAACAACAAAACTAGCACATGTTTTGTATAAACCCAATTAACAATGGCCCAATTTGTTTCAGGGTCACTGAAGCCACACCAAAAGCAGAGATAAGCAGAACAAAAGAAACAGGAGAACAGAACACTTGAAAGATGTTTGGCATCAGGCAAAAACATTTCTTATACAGACCTGGCACTACAACTTGTCAACTGTGAATGAAATGACAAGGGCACTGCAAGAAAAAACACCACAGGGTTGATGCTAAGTACACACTTCATATGAACGGTAATTGAACAATAAAAAGCCATATGAGCTCTGTACACATTGGAAACCAAATGTGAAAGTCAGAAACACCAACAAGGGCTCTAAGCTCTTATAACTATTCCCAGGGGCAGGGTCATCTCACTAAATTGTAAGATGACACACATTACAGTACTGCATAAATGATATTAGCAGTCCCAGTAAGAAAGATGAAGACTGTTGTCATACAGCACAGGAATCTTCCTTGATGCTAGCAACACCTTGGGGGTGGCGGTGTGACACAACAACAGACAGGACACAAGGGGACACGGACACACAAATGGGAAGGAAACAGCCAATGACAACAATTAAAGATTACGATCTACAGCTTTCAGAATTTTAGCAGAATGTAAAGCTTATCAGAACGACTAATAAAGCAGGATTATTACTCCAGCAGACAGAGCAATAGGCTGTTTGCGTCTTGCCACTGAGTGCATTCAAAACGAACCTTATCGGTAAAAAAAAAAAATTTCAAGTCTCAACAGAAATCAATCGTGACGCAATAGTTAACCTGGCTACCCCAAACCAGACTACTAACACTTCAAAGTGTGCTAATGCAAATGTGACCAGTATTACATATATAATAACTTATGTTTGTGTATAGATATAATACAAATACTTCTTTATACAACACGTATTTCGAGGCTCTGACAGAGACCATTTTGCTTTTTACTTTTTAAAGATGCACATATAAATTGAAGATTTTTTTACTTTTAATCAGAAGAAAAAAACAACAGGAAACATCCCACCAACCCATTTCACACTGTAGTTACTTATGTACATACTTCTATAACATCAGTGAGAACACACTTTAGTAAAGTGCTAATTGCATTCAAGGCTGCTGCTGATCCAATTAGAGCATAAAGGGCAATAAAAACACTCATTAGATACAGGAATCAATAAAAAAAAAAGTACGCAAAGCATTTTACATGACTGTGTACTGTGGTTGTTTCTGGCTAAGAAAGCTTCTGTTCACAGCCAACTTTTTTTAGCAAATTAGAAATGGCATTCCTTCAGTGTAATATCCTACACTCACACTCCCAAGCCAAAGGGACTTCGTAAGATCATCCAGAGAGAGAAGTACTTAAAAGAAAAATTTAAAGATACTTACAGAAAAAGTACATGTTGCCTTAAGTAATACAATTGTGAGTGATAGACAAACAGATGAACTAATTTCTACTCGGATAGACAAATGCAAAATAAAATCATGGACACTTGGCATTGATTCCAACACCACCCTCCAGCCAGGATATTCTTCCATCCATAGAGTACTGCATCACAAAACAAACGCGCTTTCCCAGTCTTTTCACTTGGTTCTAGGAGAAACACTTCAGGTTCCAGGAAAGTGTAAAACGTCCTGATCAATCAGTTTCTGTGACAGATTGTTCACTGCACATTTGGATGGTACATTGGCTTAAAAATTGCAGGCTTGCTTTTTTTTTAACCACTCTTATAAGGACCTGAATTATTACCAAAAGCCTCAGGATGAAGTAAGATTTTTCCGGAGAGGTGTTCTTGTAAGTGATGCCAGCAGTAGTAACTTACATGCTGCTAAAGGGAATTCACACACAAAAATCATAAATCCACGAAATAAAATAAATCTCGCAAGCATACATATTGCAGAAAGGAGGATTATGAAATTTAATTACACTGATTAAAGAACATTGCTTTTTTAGTGGATGATTACTTTCCTTATTAATAATTAACTGTTCCAACTTCTAAATATTTTGATAAAGTCTTACATTTATACTCACCTGATTCATTTTGAATTCCTGTTGTGTTCTGAAAAGATACACACAACACAGAAACTCCCTTGATTACATGAGCCCTAAAAAGAAAAACAGACAATTGTAACACGTACCTACCTACAAATTTACACTGCACTGAAAGTACACAGACCCGGAGTTTCTCTTCCCAAAGCATCTGTCAGAAAGGAGCATACTGCTTTATGAAAAAAACCTGCTCCAAGCTATAGTTTTGTTATTATAGCTCAAACGGATTTGAGTAATCTCAAGATGGATATCGATCATTAATCTTTCTCCCAGCTTTAAACAATAACACAACAGAAACGTGCTCAAGTAGGATTATTTAATTTGTTTCTAAATACAAGTTAGCTTGTTCAAGATTGAGTACTTTTAAAAACTTTCAGTCGTGTCTCTTTAGAATTGAGTATCAAAGCATTATGAAAGACATTCAATGGTTTTCAAATTAACAAAATGCATGCATTTGAGTCTCCACACTCCTGTATTAGAAACAGGAAATTCTTCCTTAAAATTGGGCCTTTTATTAAGATATTTTATTATACTAACACATTTGGCATTCTTCTTCAACAGCAGCCTAAGATTTCAAAAGGTTTCCAACAAAAATTCCTAGTTCAACTAGGCATCAAACTTGGAAACTCGTAACTTAAGACAAAACCAATCAGAACGATTTCATATCTAAGAGTCTAGTACATCAACTCTTCTTTTTTTTTAAATACTTGCAAAAAAGCTTTATTGCTGGAAAGACTATCTTTCCTGGGGTCATACAGAATTTTCAATAAATGAACAATATCCTTTTTGGAGGTTAACTGGTACCCAATCACTTGCAGCACTTTATTCAAGTACTGCTATTTCTTCCCTGTCTTCAGCTTTCTTACTATAAAAATGATTAACTGATTTTTACTAAGTACTTTGTACAAATACTAAAATTTCATTTAAAATACATTCAAGCAAAATATACTCCAAATAAATTTCATGTAATCCTTCACAGCTTTGCACTGTAAGAACGCTTAATGCTGTGTAACAGTGAAAGCACTGCCAAGCTTCACACAAATGCTACATTGCTTAAGAAATGCTTAAGAAAAGGAAAAACTTCCGTGAAAAGGGTATTTCTATTGTATACAGCTCGTCCAGGATTAACTCCTTCCATCCTGATATTTCCACACTACATCAGCATTTAGACATAGAGCTGAAACATCTGTATTTCAGTTCCAGTTTTGCAACTGGTTCTGTGGGATTTACAGTTTGCCAACAAAGACCAGTTACAGGATAAGGAGCTCCATCTGCACAGCTTTTAAACATCTGAAGAAAACCATTCCTTTTGGAATGTACTATTACAACCTTCTAACTTCTTTCAGTACATCTGTCAAACACAAATCAATTCCTAGGAATGACACATGCATTTCATTTTCTAAACTCTTCTCTAACACTGACGGAGAACACAGCCAACACCAAGAACTACCGAACAAGCGGGAATGCTCCACAGGTTGCAGCGCGAGTCGCAGTCCCTCCCGCGACTGTGAAACCTGGCCATGACAATAACGTCCCGTCGGCTCCAGGTTTCTGGTGCGTTAGCACACAGTTGTTTCTCACACATCTCCACATACCCTTTACTTCCCTCAGCCTTGATATCTTCACTCATTTTCCCTCCTGACAACTATGAGTTTTACTTCAGACATTTTTATGCAAATACTTTAAGCAAATGGTTTCTGAAATCTGATCCATACACTGCCTGTCCTTTGCCTAAAGTCGCCTTAGCACATGGAAATGCTGGCTGAAGAAAAAGCAAAAATTGGGAGTCAGAATAAACTTCTGTACTTGAGATGAGTCCTGGATAACAGAGCAAAATCCAGTGCTCTTTTATTCATTGTTCATTGGGACAATACCCACACAATGTCAATTTATAAATGAAATATTTTGGGTAGCAAGAGAGGCATCAAAACATTTCCCAGTGTGAAAAACAACTTTTTTTTAGCAACAAATGTCTTGTTTTTCTATACTTGGCTATAAAACAAAAAACTATTACTCACATAAAGACAATAAAAGCAAGAACCTTTAACTGACATGATTTGAGAGCACAGCCCGATGAGCTACTATAGCCGTAGTTTAAGTGGTTACTGTCTCCAGCTGTCTGTTTCTACCTTCTCCCCTTCCACCCACTGAAGGTTATCCGTCCCTCAATGACAAGGGCTTAACTGTTCACAGAACCATTTGCTATCGTGGTTCTGGAAAGCAATTTAGAATACCTACTGTAAGAAGTGCACATATGTTACACTGTGGTAAATGACAGTTATCTGAAGCAGACACGTCATATTCAACACTGAATAAATGAGGAAGGCATTTAACACAGAATTCAAGATATCTAAAGGCAGTAAGGATTTAAAGCACTGTCTTACAGAAACACACATTCAACACCATCACTATTCAGTCACTAAAACAAATAATTTCAGAGACAACTAAATATCAATTAAGTGATGGGCTGAAGGGGTCAATGCTAAAGAAAAGTCCTGTCAAGCTAAGAAGTTCCTTTAAGCTGGGCTTTCTTACAGTTATTGTTAAATAAATTAGTAAAAAATTTGAAAAGCAGTCAAAACCTTTTTTTTTAAACTTTGCCTCATTTAAGCAGTAACAATACACTTTTCTTGTATTTCATATACTAATTCAAAACTCTTTTGCTTAGAATTGTTTTCAAAGAATTTTCAAAACAAAAAATAAGCCTGGTATTTTTACAAATTTTACAAATGATTTATTCAGCTTTTATAAAACTGGTTATACCCAAACCTCTCAATGGTATTTCTTAGGAGATGACAAATCTTAACACACTGATGTATGTAAACATCCACATAACGCAGGTTAGGTAGATTCCTAACAGACTGCACTACTCTATACTGTTTCAGCTACAAGTTACCAGAGGAATCAGTTAACCATAAAACACAATTAGATGAGAAATTAAGCTACAGTAAAACAAAAGCTTCAACAAGTATTTATAAAGCTATTAATCTAAAACACACACTTCATCTTAAAATTTTATACCTGCCATTCTGACAAATTACATTTACGAGCTCTCTAACTGAAAAAAATGTCTGAAACTATTTCTCCACTTTTTTCTTCCTCCATGTTACCTATTTTGTTAACAATGAACTCAAGTATGTGGAAAGCAAGATTAATTGCACCGAGAGGAAAAAAAAAAAAAAAAAAAAACTATATAGAGACTTACGTCCAGTCACTAGATTTCTTTCTACCTAGATGAAATACGACACAGAAGAAAAAAAAAAAAGTATCTGTAACACTAAATTTGGGGTTTAACTTCTAGTACACCAAGTTCAACAAAAACAAGAAAGTATGAAAGAAATTCTACAACTGCTGCACAAATATTAGTTCTCCATAGGATCAATGACTACCCACAAGGTATTTACTCTTGCCACGGCAAGCCGAAACAAGCTTTCACTTCATACACTGGTGACTTTTTAGCTACAGTCAAGTCCAATGCAAAATTTTCCAGGAAAGCCCCAAAGAAAACGATACTGCTCTGTCATCAGGTGACTTGTGATGTATTAAGTTTAAAGAAGTGAGGATGACCATGTTAAATCAGTTTTAAAGTTAGCAATAGTCTACAACTGTGTTCGTACTTTAAAAACAGGCCACATCACCTGCTCCTTCCAATAGAGGTTAACAACTGTTTCGATTCAACCCTTCCTCCAAACTCAACAGCAACACATACCAGCATCTATCAGTCAAAGACCTGAGTATTGTTAATAACATCCACCACAGTAAACTTTGAAGATTCATTGAAGTCCCTAAGAAAAGATAAATAAAGGTTCTATAGCAAAAATGAAGCCCGCTTACCAGAAACCTGACTTTTTAAAATTAATTTCCAGAAAACAGGGCCAAGTCATATTTATTTCAAACCACTACTTACTACTGTATCTCATGAGTACAAAAAATACTATGGACTTTCTCACAACATTCAAGCATCTGGGAGACAAACAGAAGAGAAAGAAGATCTACTGCCTCATACAATCTTAAGAGTTTCAGAAAAGTGTATTTAAAAAGGCTCATTGTCAGGCAACAAATTATATGTGTTTAGTTAAGAATATACGAGGCATTCGTACTAAAAGAAACACTGTGGTCACTCTAAAACAAAGCTCTTGAAACAAAAAAATATTTTTACCTTATTTCTGAATTCTATGCTTAAGAATTTTAAATATTCCCTCACAAAAAATGTAACTTGCTGGGAATAAAGTTTGCAAACAAGAGCAAGTAATTTTAGACAAAACCAACATTACAGATCGTCTTTTTCAAACTAAATCAGATGGTACCTCTAGTAAGCATTCCCAGGTTTTACTAAATAGTCTATCTTCTGATTTTATAAGCCATATTTATCATTTCTGTATGTGTTTTTTTTTTAAAAAAAAATCCCAGAATCAAAAAGCACTTTGAAAGAGAATGTTGCTTCCAATCCAGAGAAAGGAAAAAAACAGGCAAAAGAGTATCAATCCTATCTTGGAAGCTGAAAATGGGACATGCATTACGTCACTGCTCCGGTTAAAACATGTTCATTACAGAACCAGGAAAAAAACTGGAAAGTCTCAACAGTCTCCTTTCCTAATGACCAGGGGTTCACGCTGGGATACCACAGGTCTCTTTCTTTGTTTTAGTTTTCAGTTGCAGCACATTTTTTTTTTTAAACATCAGGACAGCTACATTTTTTCAGTTCAATACTGAAATACTCTAATCCACAAATTTTCAATGTATTAGGTGAAACAAAGCTTGCAAAAAAAAAAAAAATCCCACAAACCTAAGTTCACGTTAACTCTAAAAGATTAAAATACGTATTTGATAGAAACAAGAAGCACTATCTATGGGCATTTAATTGCAAAGCATTTTCAGTTACTCAATACTGCCAGAATAAGAAAGAAGAAAAACTGGGCAAACAATGATTTTCACTTAAATCTATTACCTATTGTCCATTAAGAAAAAAAAAAAAAAATGTTTTGCTTACTGCCATGTAACCAAATAAACTGTTATACCTTAAAAAGGTTTACTCAGGCAACCAAGAAAATAAGCCAAGAAATCACCAACATGAAAATAAAACCCGAGTTTATTAATTAAACAGCAACTAGTCAAGAGAAGTCAACAGAAAATAACAAGTCTCTAACAACTGCAAGTATACAGAAATACCCTTCCAATCTTCAGACAGAAGTACACTTTCACAAAGACTGTAAATTCAAATGAAAATTTTCTCAGGCAAGTACACTGGTGATCTACTGCTACGTGAAGAAGCCCGTTTCAGGCATTTCTTTTTACAGTACAGGACTCAGCCTCCCCACCTGTCTACAGGCATGCTTTATACAGAGGCAGAGAAGAAGTATTTTTCAGCTAAGAATACAATCAGAGAAGAAACATACTGGGAAAAGAAATTATTTCATTGGGGGGGGAGTCGTTCAGTATCAGGATCATACCTGGCCCTTCACATGCTAACAAAAGTTCAACAGCAAATACACCGCAGTACGTTAAAAAGGTATGCTGATGCAGATATTCAACACACCAGTTCAGGAACTCCAGGCGCTTATAAAACTGTGATAAAAAACATAGAAGCAGCAGCCTCCCATCTCCACCAGTAAGCAAACGACTCATGATGATCAGGATACTATGCTATTAGCCACAGGCTAATTTTTTTCTTTTTTTTCTGGTTGAGACCCTCATTTTAAGGTCTTGCAGACACACTGCAGTAAACTCTCAGCTGGATACCAATGATACAGAAATACATTACCACACTGGTCATCTCTAAATCTCTCTGAACTTCTGTTTTCAACAGACAGCCACCTAGCAACAATTTTCAGAACTCCTTTTTATATACTGCTACTTGTTTACCCCTAAGGATCAAGGCTTTTATGTAAAACAGTGAAACAGGGACATCACTGCACTGGAGGATGGACTTCAAGAGCCATTTTAGTTTTACAGAAAAATAATACTTCAATGGATTTTCTGCTTAACTTCCCTTCCATTTTCAAGAAACATTCATGCGGAAAAATAAGGGAGGGTTACACAAATGTACATAAGTACTTCCACATCCTTCCCCCATCTTCCATGCTACTCTGGAAGATGGCTGCTCTTCAGACCCCCATGCCTACGCTGAACAGGCATCAGTCCCAGAAGCTCCAAACACCATACTTGTCCTGGCATTTCTATCCAAGATACATTATCCAAAGTGATTATTTCCTTTTATTTAACGTAACTTGGGTTTCAATACAAGCAAAACTTAGCTTCATTTTGATGGTCTACACCACGGACAGACAGGCTGTCGAGACACTTCTGCCCCAGCAAATCCTGGGAGCTACATGCTTCAGAACCAACCCGTTCTACTGCACGGGTCTCGTTACGCCATCTCTGCAAGTCCAGTAGTTCTTTTGTTTCTTAAAAGTCACTCCCCCCCAGCTATCAACAACACTGTTCTCCATCTGAAGAGTGCCAGTGCTATCAGGGATTGACCATTACGCGTTTCAGCAGTTGGAAGAGCTGGAGGCCTCACTGTCTACACCAAGGAACGCATACCTGAATTCTTAGAACGCATGTCATTTTTATTAAAATGTGGCACATGTCACAAGACAACAACCTAATAATTACATACCACACCGCTGT